TATGACTTAGAAAAATATCATGTTAGTAAAAATAGCATGGTAATGTAAGAATGGGCTTGCAATTGCTGAAAAAGTCTTGTTCACAGACAAAAACTTCCAGCGAGTACGCTGAAACAGAGCCAAGTTCACTAGAGATCTCTCTCCTCCCACAGAGACAATTACCAATGCAGATGAATAGCTGTTAATCTAAGTGACTCATTAGAAAACAATAACTGCAAATGAACAATTCCCTTTTCTTAAATTTTGTAGTGTGTCCAATCCTGGCTAGGACTCCGGTGCCTGTTAATCCTTTTGTCCGCTGTAATTAGAAAAGTGAGCATGGCTAACGATTGAATAATACCAACCCCTTCTGAAGGCATATTGTCCCCTCTCGCTGTTGAGGGCCATTAAAATCTGTCTTAAATGATGGTCTGTTGTGGATCACAGGCTTCGGTTCAAAATTCAGTGTTATTACGTAACACAGAGGCCAGGGATGGCGCACTTTGTGTTAGTCATCCTGTACACAGATGAGATAGCCCTGTAGCCATGGCAACAACCATATAAACACAAGCTGCCAATGATAGACACTGATAAGGTGGGCTAGGAGGGCACAAGAGAAAGAGCGAGCAAGCAAAGGACAATCATTTTGAAGTTGTGCTTGATTGATGCTCCCTTGTAAAGGGTTATGGAGATGCTTTGTTGAATGTTCCTCTAGAAGATCCATTGTCGCAAGCTTGTAGGTAATGAATAAAGCTTACTGACACTTTTTCTGCCCACAAACCCTTCCAGACAAGACAAGTGCAATGTGCCAGAGTGCAGCAAAGTCACCGGTCATAGAGCCCTGACACTGCCAGCCAGTCACGACACAATGGGAGACAATAGAGAAGGTCACACTATGTTGCTCCAGTATTACACACACATAGTCAATAGAGCAAAGGATGCGGAGAAAATAGTTTGTCCTTTCCACACAATTCTCCACATAAATAAACACGCACACAGATGCCGTCCCTCAGGAGCGTCCGTGTTGAGCTAATGCTATCGCTTTTCCTGCATTCTGTTTACGTCTCTTTTGGGCCCGCCGTCATGCTAATTCAACAGAATTTTCCTCCGCCTGTGTCTCTGCGGTCCAGCTCAGACATCTCCGCGCTAAATGTAGCATGACGAAGGTAGCAGCACATCTCCTCCCTGGGAAACATTAGCATAATGTAATTGTTAGGTAATGCTCAGATTCCTCGGCGCAATTTCCATAAGGTGTCATTTGAGGCATTAATACGTTCTGCCGAAGCCAAATCCAATTAAATCGAACTGCATTTAAGGGCCGTGCCGGCTCTGAAGGTCTCCGACACTCTCTGATAGGCATGGACTAGGCCTCGCTCTAGGTCATTCCCCTCACTTCAAAGCGTTTGACTCCCTCTTGTACCCGTTTAATCCTCTTTTAGATGGGAGTTCTTGTTTTCCTGCTTTTAGAGGAACTAGACGTTTTGTGCTTTGTATTTACTGGAGACAAGATTCTTCCAAACTCCTACACATGTTCTCCAGCCTATAACTGACTCATGGATCTGGCAGTGGAGAGCATCAGTGCCAGGGGGAAGGAGGGAAAAAAGAACGACTTGGCAGTGATTCATCGAAACTCTGCAGCCGACGACCCCTTCAGGTATTCAGACTTGCGCTCTTGTTCTGATCTGTCAGAGCTTTTCTGCAAATGGAACACTGCATTCAGCCCAAGCCTCTCCTCCAAATGAATGGGCTTTAAAGGAAAAGTTCTCTAAGACCAGTTTAGACACCCAGACAGCCATTCATGATGGCCTGATTGAGTCAAAAACAATCAGTAGCATTCAGTTCTCTTTATTGTGTTACTTTCGACTGGCTCAGAGGTCAAGGATGGTGCCAGATTTGATAGCATTTTTAGTAATCCCAGGTAAATCTCTGCATTGTCGAAAGCATTACAGCATTTTCGTCATGTACCAAGACGGGTCTTCTCTTTAACTTTCTCCTGCGTCCTATCCTCCTTACAGCAAAGGAGAGGTGCATGCTTTTTTAAACAGTAAACATGTCTGGCGTGGTAAATCCAGCCAATGTGAGCTGGAGCCATCAATTGCGGCAAGAAATGCTCCTGAGTCCCAGCAGAGAGCAATCCTGGATATATAACAGGATCTTAAAGAGCACGGCAGATTCAGGTCGATAGCCTGCAGGCAGATTTCTCTCCACACCAGCTGTGTTAGCCTCAGAGTGGTCAGTTGTGACCACTCCTGCTGAGAGTGAAAGCTCTTGATACTTACCAAAATCGAGTGCAATCTTGGGTGCTTCTAGCAAACTCTGAAATTTTTCATTATGTGCTCTCTGGAAAGGCCTTTCTGGAAAGCGTCTGCAATACATGTGCAGATATTTATGAAAGATGTTATTATAAGGCTTGAGCAAGCCAAATCACTTCAAACATGTCAGCCCACATCCACTGAAATAGTCATTTACAGTGATGTGTTAGGTTGGCATTGTATCATTTTATTCCCCGTTGGGATCTTAATGGTTCAGGTTGGAATTCAAACCTCAGTCATACTGGCAGGTTTGGCTGGAGGAATAGTTTAGCAAGATACACAATTTTCCCTTCACCCCAAAATCTCAGAACCCATTGGTAATGTTTTTTTTAACAGCCATTAAGTTCTAGATAAGGTAAATATGGGTACAGACTTCAACATGATAGTAACTTGATTGTGAGTTGAAAGACAGTAACAAAATTTGCAAATTACTGAAATGTCCGCAAGCTTTTATGTGTTCGCTGGGTAATTATGTATTGTGTGTTACCATATCCATAGCACTGGGTAATCATTTTAGGTAAAAAGTACCAGGTACATGTTAGCGATGCACTGAAATTGACAATTTATGTCCGAAACCAAAGTTCAAGACACATCTTGCCGATAACTGAAACCGAAAACCAACAGAATTGTCTATTTTTAACTTGCTGTTTTATTTATGTTTTTAAATAAATGTACTAAACATAAAAACTACTAGGTAGCAAGGAACATACTCTTTTATTATTGAAAAAATCTGCTTTCAATTGAACAAAACAGAGCTAAAAATAAATGTTACGTAAAATAAACATACAAAATTTTTGTAGTATGTAGGCTACAGAATGTGCCACCAAGTTCAGCATCCTCTACAGCTGCTGTTTGTGATTTGTTTGTTTTCTTTATTTTAGAACCTAATGGCGTCTGCATGGTAGCAGGGAATTTCCTTCCTGTTTGTGTTGTTTTGCTGTATTCTGTGTTTTACGCAGGATGTTATGTGGTATTGAACCTGTACTGAACCTCTTGAATGTTGTTCCTTTTGATCATGGTACTCAGCATGAACATCCATCCATCATCTATTTCCACTGTTTATCTACTGCTGCTCAAGCTGTTTAAACGCATCTGCACTGACCGGCACAGAAGGGGGAAAAACACTATTTTTAATCACTGTTTCTCATTTTCATTGTAGTTCAAATGATTTAGTAAGTGTTAGAGCTCAACACCATGTTGTAGTCTTTTGTTTTTTTTCCAGCCAAAATTTTCAGGCTTTTTTTCTCTTTGAGTTGAAAACCAAAAGTGCCACTTTTGACCATTTTGACTGAAATGTTTCAGTGACTGTAATTTTGGTGCATCCGTAGTAGTTAGAAAAAAGATGTAAAAAGATTGTACATGAACAACAGGCAGAGTGTGTACCTGTTTAATTGCTATAAATGAAATTGAATCTGGGCTGTAGACGAATGCAGTGATTCTTACAATTTGTTTACTGGATTCTTACTGTTTGCTTCTGAAAACTTTCATATTTTGTGCTGTGATTTTATGCCATATGTTCAATTTACTTACCTGTTGGAAGAGGTGACAGTGAAATATAATTGAAATATGAAGTATATGTGAGTATATTTGCAATTATCATCTTGTTACTCCAGATTTTAGTCTAATTTGGGTACTTACCATTATTTTATCCAAAATAATTAGCTTGTTTGGAGTTTGTACCTGACAATTACTCAGTTAATCCTGAAAGCTTAGAAGACTTTAAAAGAAAGTGTTATCAACACATTTGAAACGTATTCTTAAATAAACTTGCTTAGGTGGTTTTTGTAAGATGTACTGTTATTTATAAAAATTAACAAAAAGCATATCGCATAAGCAAATCTATTTGAGGCAAGTGTGTGATTATTTAAGCCTGCAGTCTGAAGTGTGAATTAGTCGAGTATAAACTTTAAATTTTAGCATTTATTAGCCTTGTAGCTCCAGTGCAAAACTAAGCAAACCTCAGCATGTTCACCAAACATGTCTTGGCTGTTTGACTACATTTGGGGTAAAGTCAGCATGTATTCATGGCTTTACAATGACAACAGTTAAACATTGCTGATAATTGAAAACAACATACAGCTTTGTGCACAGTTCAAACTCTTCAGATTTATTTGACAGTGACTTGGGAAATAGTGGTCTGTTGCCCCATATGGTGTTCAGATTTATGCTAGCAAACATGTTATCCAGGCTCCAAGCACAATGGCACTGTATACTTCCAAAAAAAATCTCTTCCAGTATCAGAACGTTATTTAGATAGTGGAGAAGTGTCCTTTTTTTCATAGAACCTTGAGATAGCTCCACTCCAAGCTCCCCATAATTCTCCCCACCCAATCTATAGGAGATTCCCAAAAGGCTTTCGTGCTATGATAGGAGTTTGAGGATAATGGAATTCTCTATCAAAAGGCTGTGTCTTATCACACAGCTTTGGCAAGAACGCCTGGGCACACAGACATGTGGAGAGCGGGCATGGTTCCAGCTCAGAATGAGCAGGGTTCTAGTGTTAAAGGACCTTTAATGCTAGATGCATCTACTGGTGAGATTTTAAAGCTTTTTGCCAAAGATACACAGTGTCCCCTTGGTCCACCAGCGACTCTTGTTTATGACCCATTTCTGTGGTCAACATCACATGTGTTGTGAAAGTACAGGCATTCATTTTCAGCAGTGTACCCCTGGGTGACATTACTATTTCTGCTGTCTGCTTCCATCTAGTGTCTCTGGCCTCCAGCACTGTGGGCCTGGCCGGTCAGGTGGTCCACACCGAGACCACTGAGGTGACTTTGGTCAGCGACTCCATCATGGGATTTGGAATCCAGCTCCAGGGAGGAGTCTTTGCCACGGAAACGCTCACCTCTCCCCCACTCATCGCTTACATAGACCCCGACAGCCCGGCCGAGAGGTGAGACCCCAGCACGGTTCCTTTTACTAGGTTAAATTTTCTCTCCTTTCGTTTTACCAGATTAAAACGCTGGGTTCAGTACTGTGAATGCTTTCCTTATCTGGGTGGCATCTGAAACGTGTAATTGTTTGCTCTATCTTTGACTTGTGATCTGCCCTGGGGGAGGTTAGCATTTCATTTTTAATCTGAAATCTCATTGCTCTTATCTCCATTCCCGATCACACCCCCCAGACCTGCCGAGCGTTTATTGCATCAGCAACTTATCTCCCTCTGCTTGCCATTTTTTTTTTTCTGAGCGGCAACTCGCTGCGCAGCTATCTGACTACATCGTGTAATGTAACTATTCCACTTGATGCATTGCTGCCTGGCCATGATAAGCAAAGCTCCAGTCAGAATGTGGGTTGATTGAATGCTCCGCTACATGAGAGGCTAAAGCACTTAGCTTTAATTGCCAGAGCGAGGCTGCCTCAGCTGGCATCCAAATGAACTTACACGTGTAGCAGCTGACAGGATTTACGCCCAAACCTCAGAGTAATTACCAGACCCTAGTGACAGCTTTGGCATTAGCCGCTGTAATTGTATTGATGGACATGGACCTTTTAATAATACGAGATCAAGGCAGGGCTGTTATTTACCATGACAGCGTCTGCAGAAATAGAATGCTCTCAATCAGGGGAGCATATTCTGTAGATTTGCATTAATAATTGTAAAAGCATCTGATTATGGTAACTGGAGTGCAGTCAGCTGTCAGAGATTTGTTGTTCACATTAGAATAAAGCTGAGAGATAATTAAAGGGTTCAGCACTGCTGAAGTTAAGTGCACTGTGCTGTGCTAGCTGGCGTTAAGAAAAGCTCATATTTCTGATAATAGTAATAATAATAATAATAATAGTTAATAACTTTATAGGAGAAGGAAAACATACATTCTTAACTTGTTAGTGTAACACAGTGTAAAGAGATGTGAAAAATTTCCTATTCAAAATTTCTGCTTTCCAGTTTGTCTTGAAATGATTCCATAAGGTTTACAAAATTATTACAAAAAAGCTGCCAATTTCAAATGATGTAGAAAATAATAACTGGGGCTACAGTGATTAACAAAATCGATTGGTTGTGAATGATGTTGATAATGGGCTAAAGTTGGCATGTTGTTTTCTTAAAAAGCACTCTGTAATGCTCTTATCTTACATGCAGTCACTCTGGCAGATTTCTGTGCACGGCCGGAAGTTCTAGGAGTGTTACAGCTTCTGTTTTTTCTCTGCACTATAGAAAAAAGAGCTCACTTTCTGCACAGATTAGTGATGCACTGAAATGAAAATACCTGGCTGAAAACTGAAAAAAAGTTGTTAACACTTTATTTGGATGGCCCACTGTAGATGCTTTGTGGATGCTTAGTCTATCTTTAACTAACATGCAATGAAATATCTATTAAATGCACCTGAACCTGAAGCTGAGTGTGGAAGACTCTACTAAGTCTATCCCTAACCCTAAACCTAACTCTAACCCTAACTCTAACCTCAAAGCAAAACCTATACCAACTCCTAGACCTAACTCTAACCTTAATGTTGTTGATAATCAACTGAGTATCACCAGAGAGTTTGTAGTAACATAAGTATCTGTAGATCGTCTATAGGGGCCATCCAAGTAAAGTGTGGCCAAAAAGTTTTTTGTGTGTGTGTTTTTTTTTTTTTTAATGTTTTGTTAATGCTTTTGAATAAATGTAAGCTGACAGTAGTTAAAAACTGCTGAATGGTTGATCACCAAACACAAAAGTCCATTATTTTTTTAGTTATACTTTGCACTTTGGCTGTCATGTCTGTCATTTTTTAAAACCTATGGCTGCAGGTGGTGTTGGTGTGCTAAAAAACAAACTAACAGTGTTTTAATCAATATTTCTCATTTTCATTATCATTCAAATGATTTTGATGCTTCCTTGTAGCCCTATTTAATCTTTTTTTCATGTCTTTTTCTCTTTTGATTGAAAACCTGTTATGACTGAAAACATTTGCAGCTGAAATATTGCAGTGGCCAAAATTTTGGTGCAGTCCTAGCACAAACACAAATAATAATAAAGGTACTGTGACAGGGCAAAAGGAGAAAATAGCAGAAGCTGCTATTCAGCTCCATTAATCAAATAATCGTCTGTAGATTATTTTATCATGGAAATAAGTGTTAGTTGCATGATAATAAATAAAAAAACACAGTTGAGATGTTTTCTAATGATGCAGATGAATGAGAACGGCACACAGGTTGAGGGGCTGGGCTGAGCTTTAGCGCTGGGGCATCTCTACTCCTGCTTGTCTTCTTGCGCAGCCTGTGAAGATTGTATAGCAGGAACGTGGCAGAAATCCACCCCTCTGTTTCTGCGTGGGATTTCTGGGTAATGAGTTGACTTTCTGCCCATGGTTTGTATGCAGGTGCGGCATCTTGCAGATTGGTGACCGGATCCTGTCCATCAACGGAATCCCCACGGAGGACAGCACACTGGAGGAGACCAACCAGCTGCTGCGGGACTCCACCATTACCAGCAAAGTCACGCTGGAGATCGAGTTTGACGTAGCAGGTGAGGAGCTCCAGCCTAAAGATGGGCCTGCACTACATGATAAAAGCAGATTTTGAAAATATGGCCAAACATGTCTTTGCTATTCTGTTTTTTTCTGGGTCTATCATTGGCTATTGCCTGTCATGCAATTATACACACAAAATGTCCAAAAGTTTGTAGACTCCTGCTTATCCAGTGTTTCTCTTAAATTGAGGCTATTCTGGGAAGGCTTTGCACTAGATGTTGGAACATTGCTGTGAAGATCTGATTGAGCATTAGTGAGCTCAGCTGTTGATGTTGGATGGTTAGTTCTGGATTTTAAGCATTACTCCAACTCATACCAAAGGCGTTGGATGGAGCTCCATCTCTCAAAAAACATAGTTCCATTGCTCCCAGTGCTTAAGGAGGGGTTACTACCCCTCTAGCTGAGGCTGGGATTGGGTATGGTGACCTTAGGCTTGTGTATCTGCTCCTGTTCTGTTGGCAGTACTTTTCTATGAAGATTATACAATCTGCATGTGCACAACTAAACACCTGTATCAGCAATGCATCTTAAAGTAGCTCAATTCACTATTTGGAAGGGTGTCAGGATACTTTTGGACATACAGGATAACGCTTAGAAGACATGTATAATCAGACGTTTAAAAACATCAGGATGCTTCCAGTAATCCTTAATCAGGATGGAGTCAGGCTTAAAACTCTGTTCCCCCCGGTATACCAGATCATCTGGGCTGACAATGGGTTCTTGTCAAGCTCCCCACATTGAGTTCCAATTCCAATTTTGAAAATTTGTCAAAGTGCAACTTGGGGATAACTTCATGCTGAAAATCCTGCAGTGTATGCCTGGCCTAAAGCCTGTTATGGTCTGTATCTGACTGACCATGCTAGACTCCTACCCCTGGTGGCCGTTCCTCTAAAAAAAAATCCCTCCATTATTTGGAGAGCCAAACTGTTTGCCACCTGTTTGTTATCTATAAATGATAAGTGCGAGCCAATCAGCAGGTTGCGAACTGAAAGACATGGTTGCTGACCAGCCATCCCCTCCGACAATACAAGCTTGAGGCTGTGTGATTGTGTTTTGGTAGAGGTCTGAAAGTACTGCATGGCTTACATACTCCCCTTTTCTAGTTCCATGCTGAGCTTTGGCAGTGTGATCAAAGCATGATCCCTGCCAAAAGCCCGCCATCCTGCAGCCACGTAGTAATTAGTACGATGTTCACATAGACTTTGTTTTGCACATCGCATTCATTTATTTGATTAGCAGTTCGAACATAGCTTTTACATTTAGGCAGCAACATGTAGAGCAAATAAAAACACTGTAACTAATTACTTTACGTGTTTTCCATGACAGGACCAGCCTTTTATTGCTGTCACTTGCGGATATTGTGCTGTCATGGAGCATTTTTGAATTGTGCTCCAAGGCAATTTTTGCCACTACGATTGACTGACAATTTTCTGTAAAGTCAGACAGAAATCGTTTTTTTCTCCCCCGCAATAACGTTGTCCTCTCAGAAAGGTAAGCGGGGAGAGAAATAATTTCACAGTGCCTTGGCTGGAAGGCTGTTCCCCATCACTCTGCGGCAGTTCTGCAGAGAGAGCGTGTGTGCACTCCTGAGGGAGGAATGAGCTTGCCTGAATTATTGAGTGATCATTTTAAGAGCAGCAGCCTTTATGCGTAATTGCCAGCCATCGGAGGGCAGTAGATTTTTCTCCTCTGCCACATCGACACTTCTGCCATCGGCCGAGGATCTTTGTAGCTGTCTGCACATGGAAAGAGGGGGCATTTCTTTCTTTTAGTTATTGCGATCTCCTCTCACTCCCAGACTTGGCTCTAAAGACTGTCGGATGACTCTCTGTGCTGCTGTCTGAGAACAGGACTTGGGCTTTGTTGTCTGAATTCTGAACACTTTTTACCAACCAACGCGTGTCATCTCTCTCTTTTAACTTATTTTAGAGCTTTCTCTACTCAAAAAGAGAAGAATACTCCAGCACCAGCCTTGGGAACTACTGGTGTAGTCAATAGCTGAATGTTATTCTTTTATACAGGCTCAAAAGAAACATAATTTTTCATTTTGCTACCTAACTATGCCCAGTCTGGGAGTGTTGCCAGCAGAGCAGCACAGCCTAGTGCAGTGGGGGGCTAAGTGCCTCGGCCAAGTGTATACCATGTATACCCAATCAGTCCTGGGATTTAAACCAACCCTGCTTAGCTTCCGAGATGGGTGTTCTCAGCGTGGCATGGCCGTAAGCCATCATGAACACAAGTGCAGAATTTTTAAATGACAGAAAGTATAATACAAAGCCAATAAAACATGTGGTCCTTATCCAGAGTCTAAAGTATAAAAACTCATGAAAGAGTACACTCAAAACCATACATACATATATTTGTACATTAGGGCTGTAGTAAAGGCCACCTTTGTGGAGTCCAAGGCTATGACTAGTCAAGATTGAGTCCAAATCAGAGTGAGAATGAGTCAAAATTAAGGCCAAAAAACTCCCCTTCAAGACCAAACCCTGACTAGTCTTAACTGTTTCTCATTTTTTGGTTTTTCTTCATTGTTTGATACTTGGTTACTTTCATTTTAATTGGTTTTTGCTTACTTTAATTAATTCTGCAAGCACATAATTATAGTTATATAACAATTCAATTTACTGTCTGTATTGACAGGTTTGATTAAAAATCAGAATTTTTTTTTGTAATTTGTGTTTGTCACTATGAATTTAGGCAACTTGTCACTATCAAAAGCAGTAGAAATAACTGAGCATAATTAGTCTTATCTAACAAGTGTTATATAATTTGAGAATGCAGTTGGTTCTCTAACTGTTGGTTCTCTATTTAGGTTGGAATTCTTCTTGGGAGATTAGATCCTTATTTTTGTATATTTCCAAAATAATATCTTTTATCTTTCCCATGGCTGCTTGCCCCCAGACCAGCAAAGAAACATCCTGTTCAGCAGCTCCAGTAGCCTACAGCACTGAAATACACTGATATTTATATGTCCCATTCTTTTTTTTTTTTTTTCTTTTCAATAATGTACGCTGTACTATACACTGCACTGTTTACCTTTGAGGACTGATGAAATTGACCTTATTTTGTCAGAGTGTACAGCAAACCTTGTGTTTGACCCCCCTTCTCCACACTCTGTTTCCCCATTCAGAATCTGTCATCCCAAGCAGCGGCACCTTCCACGTGAAGCTACCAAAGAAGCCAGGCGTGGAGCTGGGCATCACCATCAGCTGTGAGTGTTCTGCTCTCTCGTCCTCCGCACACATCAATACATTGTCCATTATCGCTGACCTACGACGTGCATGTCCGTCCTCGACACGTTGATTCCGTGGTTTTTAACGCCCTAAGCACTCTCGATACCAGAAAAGTGCAATTGTGCATCATAGCAGTGTGCCTGTTTAACAGTTAATAGTTGTGTAAGTGAGGCCAGCATAGACATTAGTGGGAGTGGCACTAGTAGGAGTGAGATTGCTGTAATCTTATTTAAAAATAGAGCCTTCTCCGCTTTGAACTTGACTTAGATTGCTGCCTAAGCAGAATGACTGTATCACTGAAGCGTACTGATAATGACAATGTCAACTTTTCACACCCGGCTCTCCACTGGCCCACCATCAACACAGATTAGTTTGTTGTCCCAGCTTATGCTAAGCGGTCAGAGATAAAGAGAGAGGCGATAGAGAGCAACACACTGGCTCTTGTACTGCTCTGCCTCTTCTGAGTTTCGCACAGCCCCTTTGAGGTTTTAATTGATTTTAATTGCTGCTTTGCACATTGCCGTCCTCAGTGACTGCGGATGAAAAGAACCATTGGAGGGCATTGCTGTTAGCGGGCAGTACGAAACAAAGCATTTGTCTCTGACAATTTCAGATGCACTGCACAACCTTGGGCTCCTCTCCAGCTTCCAGATCTTACTCTGCCTCTCCATGCGTTCATATTTCCACATGGCAGTGCCAGAACTGACTCATTGAAATGGACTCCTACTACAGTGTGCACTTTACTTCATTAATGAAGTGCGCAATCCACGTTTCGAGTCCCTAGTCATGGACGCAGATTGTGCATGGGAGTGAATTAAAATAAACATTAAGAAAACAGATAGACTTTCTGGGCTACATTTGGATTTGAATGGCTCCAAAACAACCAGTTCATTTCGTTGTGTATTATATTTATATATTTTTGATTTCCAGGAAAACTGTCAAATAATGTTAACACCAGCTCCGGATTTCCCTTCTTCACTCTTGTAATCACATCCACTGCATCACTTAGTAGCTACACTTATTGAGCATTTATTTTTCAGAAACACCTACCATAATAGTGCTTTGTAGGACTTGCAGCTGCAAGAAAGCTAATGATTTGATATTCTATTATTCATGTGAATGAATTGACTAATAATGGCTTAATTGGTTTAAATGTGGCCTGTAAATGTGAAAAGCTGGAATAATAAAATAGCAAAATGGCAAACTGAAGCACTGTTCTCCAAGACCTAGATTATCACCTGTTTCACCTTGTTTGAGCTACAGTAAGTAATAATAAAAAAATAATAAATAGATTACCATTATAGCTTTTTTACAGCATGAGTTGTTTTCCAGTTGTATGTAGCTGACTAACTAATGTATGACAGGACGAGCTGCTGAATATTTAATAGTATTTTGAAGTAGCTGCTAAATCCCTCTGATTAACGGAAACTGATACAGCTTAGAATATTACAGTAACTAACGTTAGTAATGTAACGTGATGAGCTTTAGTGGTTTTTGTGAGAGTAACGTTAGCTCATTCTGACAAATTACTTACAGTGTGAACTGTGTGTCCTTGTGTCCAAGCCAGCATGCTTGCTTTTCTGGTAGATGAAGGAAACATTGTGCTTCTGTGGACAGTCAGACCTGCATATGTTGTATGGTGGGACTAAGGTATCCTTCATTTTAGAAAATGCTTCCAGACTTTATTCTTTATCTTTGACTATCTGCTCATAGTTATGATGTGAATTGCTGCCCTCTTCAGTTTGAGTCATTAACTCACTCTAGGTTGGACGGCCCTTTGAAAATGTCACTGAAAACGGAAATATTTGTCAACTTTTTTTATTGTTGACATTATCAATAATGTTGAACAATTGTTTCAGCCCTAGTAGGTTTGCATTTACTGACTGTAGCTCATCTATTACTGCACAATGTATTAGTCACCCTGTACCCCAGGGGTGTCCAAAGTCCAGCCCCAGGGCTAAATGTGGCCCACAGACAGATTTTATTGTCCCTGGCTTCTGTTTTTACAGTGTATTATAAGTGGTCCGCCAGCCAGTACGTTGCAGTTTTTCCTTTGACCTGATGGTGGCAGCTAACCAGACCTGCAGCTTCATTTAGCAAATGACATTTAGTCAAGACTACAGACATAAAGATCAAGCTAGAACCTTTCTGGTCGAACAAAAACATGGCTACACTGTGTTTATTTGATATGTAAAGAACATTACCTAACAAAACCAAAAATGTATAGACTTTCGTTTAGTTTATCTCACACATTATATTTTTCAACAAGTAAACACTTGAATAGGAATATAATTAATACATTAGACACATTGTATTGTTACTCTTAAACAATTTAATTATTTATTATATGCGCTTATCGTTCTACACTGTTCTGAATGAGCAATCCAACAATAAAAGAAGCCTCGTGCATCTTTTGTACAGTAATAGGAAACAGAGTAGCTCACAGGAAGCTCAGATTCAAGGCGCTGGTATTTTGAAAACATATAATAATATGTCAGCCCTCAGGTATTTTAACACAGTACAATCTGGCCCTCTTGCTGTATCCTATCTATCAATGGAAAGAGACCACCATAGCACCTCTGTTGACCAGATGTTATTTGGAAGGGAACCACGGTCAGCACAGCAGTGACACCGACATGATTGTTGCAAGGAAGTGTGTGGGTCAGGTTTTTACTCACCTTAATGTCAATACAGGGCTGAGAATAGTCCACCTATCAAAAATACCAGGCCAACAGTAGTCTTGTGGTCAGAAACTGATGAAGGGCTAAAGGATGACTACAACAAAGCATGAATGGAAAACAAGGTAGATGTTTCTTATAAAGTGGCCAGTAAGTGTACAGAATGTGTAAAAACCCAAGGAATGTTGCTGTACCTGATTCAGTATGTGTGCTTGCAGGGTATATATTACACGTTAGTTTCATAGCAGCTACTGAATAATTTATAGCAGTTACTCAGTAAGAAGTATTAAGGTTAATAATTAAATAATAACCCTGCAGTTTAATGGATTAAGCAGTATACAGTGTGTGATCTCTGTGTATTTGTACCACCACTGACTATCATTCTACAGCAGGATCAAGCTGATTCTGCATCTGATGATTTTGTGTTCATTTGCGTGCTTCTGTTTTTGCTCTATCACGTAAGCACTGCGTTCGCTGACTGCCGACTCCCTACGGCTGGTGAAAAGCAGCCCTCATTTGTAGCCATAGATACCAGCTGATTCTCCGCTCTCTCTGGAGAGCTCGCTCCGTCTTCTCCTCCCTGTTCTTATCGTTTGTTTACCATCATTCTGACTTTCCAGAAGGTCGTTAGAGGCAGCGTCACTGAATAACGCAATACATTTTGTTCCTGCGGCCGCAGCCCAGAGCGATGAACGCTTGTGGCCTTAGCCAGCTGCTTCATCACTGGTGTGCCTGAATTGTCAAGCCAAGATGATTCATTGCCCATTGCAGTCTCCTCACATTCATTGTCTTCTTCAATGCTTTCTCCTTCTCCCTCACAATAACAGTTTCTTGATATGGCCTAGATGAGCTCCCATGCCACTCCCTGTGCGAGTAATTGCATTCTTCTTGAGCTTTTATTGCTTATCTGTTAGGAAAAAAACTTTTCTGATGACCAAGCTGTGTACCTTTTTTAAAAGGAGGCATTTATTAAGGTGAGTAATTAACCATCTGTAGTTAAATTAAAGAAACTGCCCCCTCCTAGGAGCAGCAAGTAAACTGAACTGTCTCCAACTTTGTAAAGTTTGTTGCTTTTAAACTTTAAGGCCACTTTAATGAACAGCCTATGCTTTTGCAGCAACATGCCGTAATACCGCTGCAGTAGCGTCTGCAGTCATTTCTGTAAAATGCAGTCCTCTCCAAACTTCCGTCCTAATCCAGTCTCCCAAGCCCACAGCACCCTTTCAGAAACATTAAGAAATCCATTAAGACTCCTCCGAGATCACTAGCAGTGTGTTTTATGCTGAATGGATAGGAGCTGTTATTTTGAACAACGGAACAAGACGTTGTGGAAGAGGAGTTGAAGGGAGCATCATGGCCTCTGACATTGTGTAAGAAGTATCAAATACAGCTAGTTCAAAGGAGGCTGCCCAGTTCCCAGGGTGCGTTGCATCGCATGGAAGACTATCCTCACAGCCACTATGCCTCCTGCAGCTGGCTCATGGCCAAGCGGCTGGGCTCCACATTGTTTGCGTGTGGGGGTGTGCATGTAAGGGGCGGAAAGAAGAAGAGAACGCTCCACTGCACTGATGTTATTGTGCGCAACATGCTGAGGACACTGCAAACACACTGCGAGGTCGTGCTCTCGCATTGCTCCAAGTGGCACCTTATTTATGTGGGCTTTGCTCCCTCTCTCTCGTATCCTTTTGTGAAGTGCTTAACACCTCTCTGCTTTATGTCTGCCGACGGGCCATATTTCACCTGAGCCCATAAAGCCAGACAGGGACAGCTCCCTTGGACCTCTTGCTTGCCTCACTTCAAAAGTGACATCAGTCAGTACTGTCCATATGGAAGAATCTTACTGTGGAATGCATCGTATTGCAAAGAGACTGCTTGAATTACACACTTTGATTTATGCCACACTGATTTAGGTAGATGCATTCACGAGTGTTGCATGCTGTTCTAATACATCATGTTGCCAGCCATTGAAATACCACCCCATACAACATCAGTGTTTCTCTCATTAAGCTGACTCGTAACACTTAGATGTCTGGCTATTATTTGTTTGTCAGTTATCACTTTGAAATACGCTGTTGTCAGAACAAAACCTTGTATCTCCAAAATGGTAACTTTACAGTAGAAGGAAAAAACATACTTTACTTTTAATGTAAGTCATTTTGGGCCGTTTCTTTTGGGTCATTCATCATGAAGTTTACACACAATGTAAAGGGTGACAGGTATTTTCAAATTATGTCAAAAACTGAAAAGTTGCACCTCCAACTATTTTTCTGTTTGTTTCAATGTGAAGAACTGACTAAAAA